AAAGGTGGATGCGAATGCATTCGTATTCTAGATATCTGGATATTTTTGGGAGCTTTAAAAATGTATCTAAGTTTAAAATTTGAGGGAAAATTCTTCCGGATGGATCAACTAGTAACCTAAAAAACAACCATGGTGAAGATTTGGAAGACTGATTTTGACACCAAACAAATAGCAGAAATTATAGCATATTTCAGTAGAAAGCTTGAAGAGGAATATGCTTTTTGTCTTTTCTTTATTTGTTTAGTTTGCCCAGATACCATTTTATAGTTCGGTTTAGTTTAAGTGTTTCCCAAATGACAGGATCAAAAGTGACCTTTTTTACAAAAATAAAGGACAATTTATGTTCAAGAGATACATTAGGGACTAAAGTAAGTCAATCGCTATATATCAGGGACTACTTAGGTTTTTATCTTGTAGAAATGAAATAAGGTATGTACCTATCATTAACTCCGGCAAGCATTACATACTCAAACAGAACTTTGTATTTATGTTTTGACTGAAGATCTTCTCTTAGTGTTCCAAGAAGCAAGTTCAAGTTAAATTTGCGGTTAATTGGCATGATCCAGCTTCTGACCTGCAATATTTCATTAGTGTGAATCAAAACATGAAGCTATTTGTTTATCCATTTTCATCCCAAGAATTAAGTTGCTCAAGGGAAATACCTCATCCGTTGTAGCATTCAAACTGACTACCAAAGCACAATTAGACTCGCGAAGAAAGGGCTTAAGTTGGGGCACAAGCCCACTTGTATAAACGGTGACCTTCCGAGGACTAAAATGCAACCCTTGTTCATCTACCAATATGTCTGCCACTTTTATGACATTCTCAATGTTGTGAAGTGGTTTTCCCATTCCCTGTAGTCAGTTATTTGATTATACTTTTTTTAAAAGAAACACTTGCTTGGTTGTTTAGGAAGACAGGAAAAGAATTAAGGAAGAAGGGACGAAAGGTCTTTTATTCTGGCATCTTGTTAACATAGAGCCAAAATCTCATGCAAGATTTTGTAATATTAGTGTGGAAGAGAAGGACTAGCTCCAGTCAACCATGTTGCATAGTTGAACACAGGGAGCAAAATGAATAATAGGCCTAGGAAAGGCCGCAAAGAAGGCAGGGTTTGGCAATATTAGTGAAGTGGCTAGGATTTGGAAAATTAGCAAAGCCGGCCACATTGCATCAAGCAAGAGTATTTAGCATTCCAGAAGTTAATAAATGGTAATACTGGCAATATTTTAGGAGGTACGTATAGAAAAATGAGAACATGTTCAGTGCAGAAAATCAATATATCATACACATACCATAAACACGACATTGCTAATTGGGACAACTTCAGTGGATAATAACTTCCGAGCTAAAACAGCATGTTCAACTATCTCAGATGTAGATAAGTTTCTCTTCAGACCTGTGAGCATGTGATTTTTGCCCTATGAGAACTACTCCCAAAAAATCAAAGTAAAATGGTTTGATGTTGTTTGTGATTTATTTGTATTGTTGTCTGTACTTGTTTATTTCTACTTTAAATAAGAAAAATACAAAAATAATATGTGTTGCATGTGCATTTAGGAGTTAATTATGCATTTTTGGAAATAATTGAACCATGTCCTACTTTAAAGAATGAACATCACAAAAAAAATATGAATACCGATAGTTTTGCCATTTTTATTGTTTAATTGTGCGATTTTATTTTTCGATCTCGTGTGTTAATTGT